TATTCAGTCATCTTTGCTTCTTTTCATGGGCCTCCTCTGCTTTCATGTCTCATTCAACAGGCTTCCTCCTGACTTTTCCAACTACAGCTAAGACACACAACCACAGGTTGTCTAGCGGTGGCCAGTTAAATCACTGTGGTCATTCAGGTGATCAGGGATAATGGATGAGCCCATTATCCTAGCATTGGAAGTAAGGAGGACATCAAGATTTGGCATTTCTAGAAGACTCATGTTCTTCCAGTGTTGAGGTCTTGTTATGCTGTGTATGTATTTTGGGGTCTTTGTTTGAATGTTGTGTTCTCAGGAAGGTCTTCCATGACCATACCATTTAAATAGCCCCCAGACTTTGTACCTCATATTGCTCTGTCTCCTTGTCCCCATCTAACTTTCTTACTGCAATCCATCACTAGCTGATCTGTAACACTTATTGTCTGTCTGTCTTCCACATAAGATAAGCTCTGGACAAGCAAGAATTTCATGTGGATCACTATCGCACCTCCATTTTAAAAGTATCTGGCACATGGTTGGCACTCAATTCATACTTGAAAAACAAATCAGTGAATGGGTATCTTTCATGCCAAAAATTAATTAAAGGATACTAGTTTGTTTAGTTAGTTTAAATGAAGTATTAGCAACACAATTTTCCATTTGTCGGTGTTAGTAAGAGCAGAATTTTTTTAACTTGATTTTTTTTTATTTTCTCCTGTACAGACAATGTCATGATTGTTAGACGCTATTCCGTTTCTTCATCTGGTCATTCACTTGCTGTGAATGATCCCTGGAAAGCTGAGAAACTACATCCACATTGCAGAATTCTCACTGCTCAAGGGACAGTTAAATCACTAGCATGCCCTTCAACTAAGAAGCAAGATAACGAAGGCAAGATGTTTACAGGAGAGTCTTTTGTCAGCAATAGCTCCAGCCAAAGAATTTCTCCTGAACACGTTTCTGGTTACAGGTAACGTACAATATGTCTGGAGTTAACTTCCAGGCACATGCTGAAATGGTTACTGAGATATTCCCATAGAAAAGCAAGTATTATCTAGTAGAGGAGGAAAAAACCCTAAATAACATATTAGGACAAAATAATTTCCATCTCACATATACCCATTTTGGGAATCAATAGAAACAAATTTAGCTGGAGTCCAATGGCACCCTCTAATAGATAGCTCTACAAAGTGGAATATTTAGCCTTCATTGATTCATCAATACTAATGACCACACTTTGAGCAAGGCTTTCACGATACAAAACTCAGTAAAGTAAGTCATTATATTCAAAACTTCATTTAATGACAAATACTCAAGCAATCTGACCACTACAATGAAGTCCATCCGAGAGAGAAGACACAGTTATTCAAGAGCTGAACACAGAATCCTGAGAAAGAGATAGCTGTCTCTGTGGAGGCGGGTGCCTTAACAAGCTTTGGGAGAGATTAAAAAAAAAATCCTTTAAGCATAACTCAAAAAAGCCAAGAGACAAAGAGAAAATTAACCTGCTCTCTAAAATACATGAATTGGATTTTAGGGTGTCAATCTCATTACAAGAATGAGGGGGCAGGTTTGAGAAAGCAGCTGGCTGAGGATCTTGGCCAGTCTTCTGTACTGGTAGGGTCAAGGCCCCTTTCCAAACAAGGTTGACTAACTAATGTATCTGCACTCCTGGGCTGGTGTGTGGCTTCCTCTCCCTGTCACTCTGCATTCCTACTTCCCAATTCTCAGTTAGGCCCTAATTCTTTAGCAAAGTCTCTATCCTTTTGTCTTGTGTGTCAAGCGGAGGAAAACCTGTTAAAAAATTTTTTAAAAAGGACTGAGTTTCATGATTACCTTATCCCAGAGATGACAAAATGGAAAAATGTGGCTATGAGAGAATAAATGAATCATCTAATTCGGCAATGGCAAGAAATCGAATCCAGGGGTAACCATAAGTAATAGGCCTGCAAGAATTCTCATCAATATTGAATGAGCACACTGGACCTTCCACAGGATGTAGGAAACAAAAGTGGAGCCAGTTTTATCTGAATTTCAAAAGGCAAGATGAAAATCACAAAGTCCTATCATAGCCGTAGAGAGAGTAATCTGAGTCACCGAGGACAGCTGGATGTCACTGGGCAAAGAGAAATGGGAAGGTCGTCTTAAGTATGACAAAAAAATACATGAAGATTGGGAGAAACCAAAAGTTGTTCAGTGAAGGACGATGGAGAAGTGAGCAGGACCCAGCAGGAAAGACCTCAGGAGTATGTGCTTTATCCTGTAACTATTCCAAAGCTAGTTAAAAAAAAAATCTTTGAAAATGTTCAAAATACAGAACTCTTCAGAAACTAATGTTACAAATATCAATACATTCATCTCAAGGGTTTTGTCTTACTTGATTCAAATGGGTTTTCTTTGTTTCTTTCTATCATGAGGCAGAGAGAGAGAGAAAGGGAGAGGAAAGCACTTTTTCTCCTCAACATTCTCAGCAGGGTCACATGCTGCAGTCCTCCCGCAGTCTTCCTGGACAGCCAGGATCACAGGACATACATGCACACCTGACATTTATAGGCCTCCTGGGAAACGAACTCTAGTCCTCCGTGTGGCTTCCGACATTGCAGAGCAGTGTGCTATTGCTAAGCCACCTCAGCGGGGCCTGCTTGAGATAGTTTTATATATAAAAGAAATCAAATGTTACTAATAAAGAAACCTATGTTTTGAGCCTTTTATTATATGGATTTTTCATTCAATGAATACATTCTAATGCATACTGCATGCTGGGCAGGATTCTAGGCTCTGCAGGTATGTCAGGAAACAAAATTGTCAAAATTTCTGCTCCTGTGGAGCTTATTTCTTTGTAATGATAACCAATAAACACAAAAATAATACATAAAGAGTATATTATGTTATCTGGTGTTAAGTACTAAAGAGAAAAATTAGGCAATAAGGAGAAAGAAGGTTAAAGGAGCAAGCCTTGTTGGAATGTTTGACTCTATGGCCGAAGAAAGCCTCGCCACCTGAGAAAGGAGGGAGAGAGTCTTGAGGACATCTGAAAGAAACTCCACAGATGTTTTGAACAGCAAATGCAAAAGCCCCAGGGGGAAACAGGACTGGTGTGTTCAAGTCAAAGAGAGGAGGCCCTAGTGGCTGCAGTGGAGCAAGCAGCCGAGAGCAGCAGGATTTGAAGGCCAAGAACAAAGAGTGATATTCCACACCCTCCAAAGAACTAAGTCAATTGGGATAGGTAACATGCTGTTTCCATTTTTTTTTTTTAAAAGATAACTTGGGGGACCAGCAGATGCCATAATTGTTACGTCATTGGATTCCCATGTAGTCAACTGTGGTTTGAGTCCTGGACCCTGCAGTTTAAAATTCATGTCAAGCGGGAACCAGCAGTTAGCGTAATGGCTATGTCGCTGGACTCCCACGTAGTCGACCGCGGTTTGCGTCTCGGACCCGGTGGCTTAAATCTCACGCCGGGCACGTGTGCGTGCGTGCCCAAGATCCCGAGAGGAGAATGGAGGAGAAGGGATTGCGGTGTGACCATCCCCCCTGGGGGGTGATTTCTCGCTTTCTGTCTCTATGTCTCTGTCTGTCTGGCGAGCACACGCACCCTATAGCGAAAACCTCTCCAAAAAAAAAAAAAAAATTCATGTCAAGCACGTGTGTGCGTGCCCAAAATCCTGAGAGGAGACTGGAGGAGAAGGGATTGCAGCAAGGCCATCCCCCTGGAAGGTGATCTCTCGCTTCTTTCTCTCTGTCTCTCTCTGTCTCTCTAGTGAGCACAATACACTCTATAACAAAAATCTCCCTTTTTAAAAAGTAGTAAAAAAGATCATTTGAAACTTCTGAAGAACAATACCAAAAAAAAAAAAAAAAAAAAAAAAAAAAAAAAAAAAAAAAAAAAAACCAAGGAGAACAGATTTAAAGCTATGAAATAATCTAGGAAGTTGTTTCAGGGCCAAAAGTGGCAACAGGAGATGTGGTTTCTGAGTGTTTCAAAGGTGAAGCCAATAGGATCTGTCAAAAGATAGTATGTGAGATACGAAATTGGTTTACAATCTCTATGTGTTTTTAAAGAAGGAAAAAAAACCAGAGGTGTGTCTTTTGCCTTAAAAAGTGTGTACACACACAAGGGCTTCAAAAAGTTTGTGGAAAATGCACAGGCAACAAAACCTGTATATGAAATTTCAAAACATTTTGCACCAAAATAAACTCATACTTTAATTCCATTTTTCTTTAGCCATTTCAAGGCCCCCTAGATGCATATATAGATTCATTTAATGTTTTTGTAAAATAAGGAATTGCCAGTTTTACAAAAGCACTAAATGTTCGTTGTAAAACTAATTTTTACAAATTACAAAATATAAATGCAATATCAATGCAAAAGTATAAAAAGAAAAATCCTCCATGATCTCATAACCTGAATAATTGCTATTTAGATTTTTTGTGGGAGGCTGTGCACCAGCAAACATCGCCAGTTTCTCAGAAAGCAAACAATTACACAATGCCAAAGGCCATGATTGGCTCCCCTTCCAAAAACCCCCCCTTCAGAACCATACTCTGATTGGCCACTTCCCATAGCAAATCGGTAAGCTTAGAATCCCTCAGATTTGCATAATCTGGCACCTCATGACTGGTCCACAGAAGCAACCAATAATAACCCACGTTTTACAATCGTTCATTCAACCAATCACTGCCCACCAGCATGTATATAACCACGACCCCTGACCCACAATCTCCAGACGACCCTGAAGACCCTGAAGAGTTGTAACACCGTCATCTCCAGATGACCTGGATGACCCTGAAGAGCTGTGGCACTGTGTCGTCTCCGTGCTGCCCACAATAAACAGACGACTCTGACTCTGTGTCGTATCCATGTTGTAACATTGCACTACTCGTCCCGGCTCTCACTCAGGAAACCTGTTCGACTATCCCCCGGGCCGGGACAATTTTTGATGGATATATCTACATATTTTGAAATCATACAGTGTATGTATTATATCGTTTCATTTCTTGTACTTAAAACCACAGCATTCCCACAGACCTACAACACTGAAAATCATAGTACTGTTAGTTTTTGCATATCAGCTTTTTATAAATAATAGTTTGGGAACCTAGTCAATGTTTATAATATATTATTTTTCTGGTACAAAATGTTTCCCAACAACCAAGCTACCAATGAACAAATTACTTAGAACACAGTTTATTTCTTATCTAGAAGGTAGTTTAATTTTTAAAATTCAGCCAATTACAGGTTTGTATTCAAAGGCAAAAGTCAGTATTGGCTCATAACCAGCAGTTAAACTGGCATTAAACATACTGGATAACAGAGAATTGTTGAGTAGAAATTGAACATTTTTTATAGCAGTCTTTTTTTTTTTTAATTTTGCCTTTTATATTCTCAGAAATCAACGAGTAATAGCATATCATTACATATTCCTCTGGTTGTTTGGGAAATTCACTTAGTTCCTAATAGCTTTCAAAGAATTAGACAAAGATTTATCAAGAGCCAATTTATTTGAACTGGCTTTTGAACCATATCAAACATCATATCTAATTTGCTTGTGAACTTTTCCATTACTATACCAAGAAAGTATTTTACAGAATAATGTCAATGTCAATATTTCTAAGAACCAAAGATTTTCAGAAACTAGAGATAGAATTTTACTTTTTCTTTGACTGATAGTGAAATCCAATCTTGTCCATCTATGTTCGAGGAAAAAAAATAATAATCTCAAGCTGTTGGCAAGATTAAGGGTCCATGTAGAGAGTCAAAAGTAGATATGTTATTTTATTCAGTTTCCTAGTAAAAGAAACCAGACACATTACAATAAGTGTATTCTTTCTTTTTCTGAATCAACACGATTAAGAAGGCAGCCTCTGGAATCAGACAGCTAAAATCTCAACTTCATCATTTATGAACAAGATGGCCTTGGAGAAAGTGATTAGTCTTCCCCATGCCATAGTTTACCCTTCTTTAAAAAG